GTCCTACTTTCCCTTTCTTTCTCTCTCTGGTCAAATTAAACAAATAATAATAATGATAATAAATGAAATAAAATAGTTCTTTCTTAAAAAAAAGATTTTTTTTTTTGCTATATGGTGTGTGTGCTCACCAGAGAGACAGAGAGAGGGAAAGTGAGAGATCACCCCCCCGGGGGGGGGGAATGGCTATGCTGAAATCCCTTTTCCTCCGTTCTCCTCTCGGGATTTTAGGCACTCACACACACATCTAGGCACACATCTGGCATGAGTTTCAAGCCACTGTGTCTGGGATTTGAACCATGGTTGACCATGTAGAAGTCCAGAGCCTTAGCCACTACACCACCTGGTGGTCCCTGGGATGTTATTCTTAATGTTGCTAATACGCTTTAAACTGCTTTTTTTTATGTGACTGCAGGCAGACATAAATAATAGTAATGAACATTATTCCTCTATTCTGCCAGACAGCAAAAAAGGTTACAGAATAACCGAGCTTCAGGAGAGAGGAGACTCCTCTTCATCCGTGTCTGAGACACACCCTCTCTGGGCAATGAAACCGCCTGTGTGGCTGCCCTTCTAGAAATGTCAGCCAAGGCCCCATGGCCTTAGGGCCCTCATTACAGCATCCGGGTGGGAACTGCACTTCAGAATCCTGCGCCAATGGCCCAGAGAGATCCTCGAGCCTTGGTGTGACTGACGGAGACAGAGCACACCAGCTTCACCAGCCAGATGTGGGAATCTTACCCCGCAGCACCCTGGTCTGGGACCTTGAGGAAATCCAGGCTCTCGGGGGTCTGTGACACTCGGTCGGAGCCGGTGGACTGTTGTCGTGGCAACGGTGGGCGAACCATGGAAGTGTACAGGCTTTTCTGGTTGGACCTCTGGTTCCCGAGAGTGTGGGGATGTGGCACAAACTGGTTTCTGATGACTCCATTCTGATGGTACCCTGGAGAGGAAAAGAGCAACCTGAGCTGGCATTTTCTGATCCTTTGCCAAAAGGCTCCCCGGATCTCTTCTACCTACCGGCTGCTAATGCGCCGTGAGGATTAGAGCCAACACATGACTCCTCCTCCCTCCCCAGTTTTACTGCAGTCTAATGAACATATAAATCCCATGTATTGAAGTCGCACAGCACGATGCAGTGAGTATATTGTAAACTGCCCAGGAAACGTCTGGCTCGTGGTGGTCACTCAGCACACGCTTGACAACTGAGTCCCAGAGGTTCAGGGTGTCAAAGCCCGTGGTCAGAGACAGGGAAGCTTGCAGCTGGCTGGCAGACATACTCTTGGTCTAAGAAAATGATAAGGTTATGACTCAAGAGGCTGGCAGGCAGCTGTTTAAACAGCTGGAGATCTTTTTTGTTTTGTTTTATTTTGTTGTTTAACAAACTTTTGCTGCAGGGCTCGTGCATAGGCCGGAGAGACAGAAAGAGAGAAATCATCCCCCGAGAGAGATAGCCATACTGCAATCCTTTCTCTTCCATTCTCCTCCCTGTATTTTGGGCGTGCATGCACACATGCCTGGCGTGTTTAAGTTGCCGGGTTCTGGACTTGAACTGTGGTCAACTACATGGAAGTCCAGTGATGTAACCATTATACCATCTGCTGGTCCCACATCATGACTTTTCTGAAAACCCAATAAATGAGAATAAACAAAGGTTTTGCCTATACTGAACATGTATAGACTTTTCCTCGTCATTATTCCCTAAACAATATGGTAGGACAACTGATTACGGAGTGTTTACACTATACTGGGCAATCTGGAGATGATTTAAAGCAGCAGTCTCTAACCAGTCTCCACCAGGAACCAGTTTCATGGAAGACAATTTTCCCACAGACCTGGTGGGGATGGTTTATGAGAGTGCACAACCTAGATCCTGTTCATGTGCAGTTCACAATAGGGTTCATGCTCCCATGAGAATCTAGTGCCGCTGCTGATCTGGAGGAGGAGCTCAGGCAGTGATGCGAGCGATGGGGAGCGGCTGCAAATCCAGATGAAGCTTCACTCACTGCCTGCTGCTCATCTCTGGCTATGCGGCCTCGTTCCTAGCAGGCCATGCACCAGTACTGGTCTGTGGTCCGAGGACCCTTGTTGTGGACAGTCTAGGGATGCTTTAAAGCGTATGGGAGGATGTGTGCATGCAGGTTATATGCAAACTCTAGGCCAGCTTATACAAGGGCACCGAGGATCTGTGGATTGGGGATCCCAGGTAGGCCTGGAACCATTACCCTCATGGAACGGAAAGACAACTGTAACAAATTCCTGGGATGGGCTCTGAGCCGTGTGTCCTCAGCTGAAAGGAACAACATCATTCAAGCTATGTAGGAAGAAGTCCTGTCTATCCTCCCAGCGAGAGATCTGAGCAGAGTGGAAAGGGACACTATGGAAGTCCCCCCAGAAACTCCTTCCACCCCAATTAAGAAAACTCTTTGGCACCAGAGAGATGATCCTTAGCTTATAGGAGACTAGGGATTCAGTTCTGGCCCTGCCTCTACTAGTTGCATTGATTTTTGGGGGTTGTTTTACTTTTTTAAGAATTATTTATTTGTTATTATTATTTTTTAAGAGAACTTTTGCTATAGGGCACATGCACTTGCCGGAGAGAAAGAGAGAGACTGAAAGGAAGAAATCATCTCGCAGGGGGATGGCCACACCACAGTCCCTTCTCATCCATTTTTCTCTAGAGATCTTGGGCATGCATGCACACATGCCCAGTCTGAGTTTAAGCCACTGGGTCTGGCACTCGAACTGTAGTCATCCATGTGAAAGTTCAGTGACATAACCATTATACCAACTGCTGGTCCCTGGCTGGCTTTGCGGTTCGAATCCCAGACCCAACAGCTTGAGGGATACAGTGGGTGTGTGTGTTCCCAAAATCCTAAAGGAGAGTGGAGGAGAGAAGACTGTGGCATGGTCACCCCCGTGGAGGATGATTTGATTTCTCACTTTCCCTCATTCTTTCTCTTTCTGTCTCTGTCTCTCTCTTGGAAGAGCATGTGCCCTATGGCTAATATTAAAAAAAAAGTCTTAAATTTTGTCTTGGTTTTATCCCAGCTGTGGTGGTACAGACTCCATAACACTTAAGTCACACAGGAAGGTTCTGGGTTCACATCCCGAGATCTTCCTGTACACACCAAACCTGTGTACATATGCCACAAGCCTGCCTGCTGAGGCTCAGAGTAGATCGTGGCAGGAGGAACCTGCTGGAGGTGTCTCTCTGTCTCTCTCTCATGTGGAGAAATAGATGAATAAACTTACAAAGAATTTATTATGATCTCCAAGTTTTGGATATTATATATAACATAATATATATTTTAGATATTATATATATAATATAATATATATATAATGTATATATATATATATTTTATATATATATAAAGAGAGACAGAGGGAGAGTAGAGAGAGGAAAAGTGAGAAAGCAAGCTGCTAGGCCTGGGACTCGAACTACAGTGAGCCATATGGGAGTCCAGCACCCTAACCACCATGTCATCTGTTGGCCCACAAGTTATATTTTTAATATTAAAAAAATGAGAAATATAAAACATAAAGGCTTAGTAGAGCTTTTGTAACCACTTTATAACTCCCTCAACTCCTATCTTGTTTGTTCTGAACAGGTCTCCTGGGTTCTGTAATCACTCACTATACCGTTAATTAGCTGCACAGAGCTGCTGAGGTGTCTGGCTGGAGCTGGGTAGCTATGGTAGGGTTACACCCAATAAGCTCCTTTTTCCATAAAGGCAACATCCTCTATCTTTTTTTAAAATTTATTTTAATTTATTTATTTTAATTTGACCAAAGAAGGGGAGAGAGAGAGGAGGAAAGAAAGAGAGAAAGCCAACGAACAGGTCTGGGATCCGAACCACAGTTGGTCATGTGGGAGTCCAGCACCCTTAACCACCACACCACCTGCCGGCCCCGACATCCTATATCTCCAGAGTGACAATATTCCAGCTGTCACGCTCCAGGAAGGCCTTCCCTGAGGGGCTAATACTGCTAGGGGTGAAATCCGGATCGTTAGCTCAGCCCCAGCTCAGTCTCACCGACTGTCCTTCTGAATTCTGGGGCCAGGCGTAGGCCATCATGTTCGTAGGAGTACATCTGGCTCTCAGATGGCCCGTGGCTGGTTAATAAGTGTGCATGTATGGGTTTCTTCCTGAACAGCCCATGGAGCGTGTGGCATACCTGGGGGAGGAGGGGCTGCTCTCATCGGGTAGTTGGCATTTTGAGTCCCACCGGAATAACCTCTGTTTTGGGTGGTGTTCCTTCTGGTAGGACCTGAAATAAAGGAGCAAGACAAAAGGTCAGTCAACTCTGCCGCTAGGTCCTACAACTTCTGATGATTCTGTGCTTATGGAAGACGTCCGAGAAGTTTGGGAACCAGGGTTCGGCAGTTTGCAGGATTCTGGCTGCGGTGGAGAAGAGTAACTAAAGCAAGTGCCCTATGGGTAGCTATCGGAGCGGAGGGGCTGTTTTTTTTTTTTTATTTCTTTTGAGAGGTTTTTGCTATTGGGCGCGTGTGCTCGCCAGAAAAACAGACAGAGAGACAGAAAGCAAGAAATCACCTCCCAGGGGGGATGGCCACACTGCAATCCCTTCTCTATTCTCCTCTTGGGATCTTGGGCGTGCGTGCACATTCACCTGGCGTGAGTTTAAGCCACTGGGTCCAGGACTTGAATTGTGGTCAACTACATGGGAGTCCAGCGACATAGCCATTACACCAACTGCTGGTCCCAGGGGCTGGGTTTTAAAAGGTTAGAGATCTTGGCTTCTTATCAAGATTGATAACTGTGCAAAGGTGTTTCTATTTTTATAGACTCAAAATAGACTGACAGAACTTTATTTTTTTTTTTAGGTTGTTGCCATAGGGTGTGTGTGCTCACTGGGAAGACAGAGGCAGAGAGGAAAAGTGAGAAATCATCCCCACCCTCCAGGGAGATGGCTGTGCGCAATTCCTTTTCCTCCATTCTCCTCTCAGGGTTTTGGGCACGTACATGTGGTTTAGGCCGCCAGGTCCGTGGCTTGAACTGTGGTTGGCCATGTGAGAGTCCAGCACCTTAACCACCATGCCACCCACTGGCCCCAGATAGATGCGTTTGTTTGTACTCATGTTCTATTGGGTCATGGGAAAGTCATGATTCATTTTAGAATAGAAAACACTGAAAAATGCGTTGTGATTTATCCCACGACCCAACAGAAACTGCACAGAAGCTTCAAGTGAGCAACTAGTCACTGGCGTGAGGCAGAGGCGAACGCTAACGGCACTTTGGCCTGTGTTAAGAGTCTTTCTGGAGGCCAGCAGGTGGCATGGTGGTTGAGGGTGCTGGACTCCCACATGGCCAACTGCAGTTCAAGTTCCGGACCTTGTGGCTTGCTTCCTCTTTCTCTCTCTCTCTCCCTTTCTGGTCAAATTAAAATAAATAAATAAATACATAAAGTTAAATAAAACAATTCAAAAAAAGTCTTTGGAGCAGCAGTTGGCTTAATAGCTATGTCGCTAGACTCCCATGTAGTCAACCACAGTTTGAGTCCTGGAGCCGGTGGCTCAAACTCACGCCAGGTGTGTGTGCGTGCGTGCCCAAGATCCTGAGAGGAGAATGAAGGAGAAGGGATTGCGGCATGGCCACTCCCCTGGGGTGGTGATTTCTGTCTTTCTGTCTTTCTCTCTCTCTCTCTCGCTCTCTCTGTCTTTCTGGCAAATGAATGTGCCCTATAGCAAAAACCTCTCAAAAAAAAAAAAAAGAACTCTTTTTGGGGCCAGTAGGTGGCATGGTTGTTGAGGTGCTGGATTTCCATGTGGGTAACCATGGTTTGAGTCCCAGCAGCTGGAAAATCACAACAGATAAACAGACAAATAAATAAATAAAGGTATTTCTTGGAACCAGCAGATGGCGTAGTGGTTATGGCCAGCTGAGATTTGAATACTGGACCCGGTAGCCTGAAACTCATGCTGGACGTATGTGTGTGTGCGCACGTGCCCAGGATCCTGGGAGAATGGAGAAAGGCTTGCGGTGTGGCCATTCCCCCCCCGGGGGGGTGATTTCTCACTTTCCTTCTTGCTGTCTGTCTGTCTCTCCAGTGAACACCCAAAGGTCTCTAACAAAAAAGTCTTTCTTGCAAGTTTGTGTTCTACAATCTTCCAATTAAACAGACTACGAAAGGCAGGTGCAGACACGGGCGTGATGTCAGGAAACAAGCCAGTGTTAATGGAACATCACTGTGGCCGCGGCAAGGGCCGGGTGGCAGCTCACCGGTGGCCAGACGGGACCTCTGTGAGACACCTTCAGTGGAAAGGAGCGCAGCAGAGAAAGTTCCAAGTGGGGCACCAAGGGGGGTAGGGCTAGACCCATGGGGGAACAGGTGCAGAGGGCATCTCTTCTTTTACTTATTTATTTTTATGTTTGCCATCGGGGAAATGTGCTTGCTGGAGGGAGACAGGAAGAGAGAGTGTGAGAGCGGGGCAGAGTGAAAAAGCACCCCCCAGGGGAGATGGCTACCCCCCAACCCCTTCTCCACTCTCCTCTCAGGATTTTGAGCACACACGCACATGCGCCTGGCGTGTTTTTCTTTCATTCTCTTTTTCTAGAATTAATCAATCAATTAATTAATTAGACCAGAGAGGGACAGAGTGAGAGAGAGAGAAAGTGAGAAAGCAAGCCGCCAGGTCTAGGACTCAAACTGGGGTCAGCCATGTGGGAGTCCAGAGCCCTTAACCACTGTGCCATGGGCACGCACACATATGCACCGTGTGATTTTCAAACCATCGGGTATGAAACTTGAACTGCAGTCCACCACGTGGGAGTTAAGCAATGTTAATGCTACACCATCTGCTGCCCCGCCCCACCCCAGTGTGTTTTCCGGACTGCTGGGGCTGCTTCGAACTGTGCTTGGCCAGGTGGGCTCTGGCTCCCTTAGCTACGAGGCTTCAGGACCAGCTTCTGACTTTGTTCCTTTAACTCTGCCCACACCTTTGATTCAAATGTCTCTAAAAATCCCACTGAAATGTGCTGTTTTTCAAGCACCAACTGATACAAATCCACCCATTAATATTCCACACATATAAAGAACAATAGCATTGATCCGTACTGCCTTAATATGGTAGAGTACAGGCCAATGCGTAAACTTGGGGCCTGGTTTATGTGTGGCACGCTCTTCACTGATTAGACATGGGCTGAATTTTAGACCAATATCTACACTATCCGAATACATAGCATATATGATTATTCTGTGCTGTGAATTAGAAATGTAAGTTTATAAATGTCAATTATAAATAGAAAAATAATCAAAGGCCAGGGAAAGATTAGGGGCTGGAGCTTTAGAGAGATTTCTGCTATAGAGCATGTGTGCTCACTGCAGAGACACAGAGAGAGGGAGAGACAGAAAGTGAGAAATCACACTCCAGGGAAGATGGCCACAACAAAACTCCTTCTCCTCCATTCTCCTCTTGGGATTTTGGGCACACATGTATGCGTGCCTGGTGTGAATTTCAAGCCACTGGGTCTGGGACTTGAACCACTGTTCACCATGTGGGAATCCAGCACCTTAACCACTATGCCACCTGCTGGCCCCACACGTGTGTGCATGCTCGTTCTTCGAAAGCACTCGGACGTGAAGGCAGAGAGCTTAGATCTGATTCACAGGAAAGTCGTGAAAGCATGTGGGGAGCTGGTAAATGCGGTCAATTTCTTCAACGTGGGCACAGAGGAGGATAATGTTTATGTTGTGAACACGGCTCTGGCTGGAAAGGACTGGGAAATTTGAAGCCAACAAACTACGATCTTTTTCACAGTATTGTAATGCCAGCTGTACTCTACATAGTACAAAATCATTCAGAACGTTTCAGCACACCCATTTCTCCTTGACGTTGCTTTGGTTGGAAATGCTCCCTTTGAAGAAAACCCAAGCCACAGGAGGCGGCGGAACCCTGAATCTCAGCGCCCAGGTCTGGGCTCACGTCCCCGCGCCGGGTCAGTGCTGGGCGGGGCCTGCGAGCACTTACGGGAGTTCCTGGGCAGCCCGGGTCCGATGCTGACCTGCAGCACTTTGTTACTGGGCTTCAGGACGGCCAGGTCTCCGGAGCCTTGGTGGAACTGCACTTGCCGGGAGCCCCCTGCGCTCCAGGGACCCCAGTTCTCCTTTTTCAGCTTTAGTTCAAGCCTGCAACAAGCACATGTGTTGGCATGAAATCCCCGGATGAACCCACGGGCGCTCCCGGATGCCGGCGTGGAGCCCACTGCTGGGTAAACCTGCCGTAGAAGCCAGGCCCTGGACCCCGAGACCGCCTCAGCATCCAGGTGGTGAGGACGGCACCCGGTTAAGGTGACAGTGCCACTCAGGTGATCACAGGGACAAGTTCCTAGGGGGCAGAAGGAAGGTCGGCTTCTAGGCCACACTTGCTGCACCCGGTCATGGGCCTATGTGTGTGTTTAAAGAATTATTTATTTATTTTAATTAATTTATGTATTGCTATTTCTTTTACTACAGGGTATATGCACTCACCAGAGAGAGACAGAGACACAGAGAGAAATTGAGAAGGCAAGGCACCAGATCTGGGACTCAAACCGTGGTGGGCCATGTGGAAGTCCAGCACCTTTAACCACAGGCCACCTGCTGCCCCCTGGATCTGTGTTTGTGGAGGACGGGGAGATGTCAGACAGGAGGCAGCTGGAGACTGCCTGGCACAGACTGAGGGCACTACTTAGCAAGGCCTCCTCGCCCACCTCTTGCGCAGGGGCAGGGAATATGACGAACGCTGGCACAGAACCCGGTTGAAGGGAGGTGTGCCCTCCGCGCCCACGGTCCCCAGTCAGTTTCCATCCTTCCATGCTGCCTACGTCGCCACATAACGTCAGCCACGTTCTGCCCCTCCTCCCTTTAATATTGCCAGAATTTGTGCCCACTGGAAAGAAACAGAGAGAGAAAGCACCTCTCATGGGGAGTGGCCACACCACGATCCTTTCTGCTCAGTTTCTTCCTTCTTTCAGGATTCTAGGCACACATGCGCATGCACCCAATGTAGTTTTTTTTTTTTCTTTTTTGGAGAGGTTTTTGCTACAGGGCGCATGCACTCGCCAGAAAGACAGAGAGAGAAAGAGACAGAAAGCAAGAAATCACTCCCTGGGGGGATAGCCATGCTGCAATCCCTTCTCCTCCATTCTCCTCTCGGGATCTTGGGCATGCATGCACACGTGCCCGGTGTGAGTTTTAAGCCACCAGCCTGGGACTCGAACCACAGTCGATTACATGGGAGTCCAGCAAAATAGCCATTATGCTAACTGCTGGTCCCCTCAACGTGTTTTTCAAGCCATGAGGTCTGGGACTCAAACTGCGAGGTTGGCCACATGGGAGCCAGCGGCCTTAACCATCAGGCCATGGGCTGGCCCCCGATTCTGCCTTTTTTAGTTTAGTTTTTGCTATAGAGTGCACGTGCTCATGAGAGAGAGAGAGAAGAGGAGAAATCACCCCCTAAGGGGAGATGGCCATGCCACAGTCCCTTCTCTTCCATTCTCCTCATGGGATTTTAGTCATGCACACACATGTGCCCAGCATGGTTCTTAGACCACTGGGTTCACGACTTGAAGCAGGAAGTTGGCCACGTGGGGTCAGTGCCTTAACCTCCATGCCAACTACTGGCCCATATTCTACTTTTTAAACGTACATTGTTTCATGCAGTAAGAAAGAAAAATCCCAACTTGCAGTAGCTTCTACTGTAGGTTTCCCTCACCATTGGCATTAAGACCTGATCTGGGCCTTGTGCTGGTGGGTGAGAAGAGATGAGGGGTACTTCCACCTTATAGACGTGGCGACTTAAGAAGAAAAAGGCTGGGGCCAGCAAGTGGCATGGTGGTTGAGGTGCTGAAATTCCCACATGGCTGACTGTGGTTCGAGTCTTGGACCTGGCAGCTTGCTTTCTCTCTCTCTTTCTCTGGGAAGAAACTCATGGGGAAAAAACAATTCTTTAAAAAAATAAAAAGAAAAAGGCTGAGCAACTCGCTCCCAGCAACATAGCAACATGCGAGAGAATAGGGGCTCAGCGGGAGGCCAGTCCCTGCCCTATCAGACAAAGAGAGAGCCAGCCAGCCAGTGGCCACCCGAGGTCCCACGGCCCCTAAGGCCCCAACACGGCCTCCTACCCCCTGACCTGGGGAATGTAAGCCCCTATTCCAATCACTTTCCACTGCTTCCAGCCTGACTCTCCTCCTGTGTGTTCTGCTAAATGAAATGCTCTTTTATTAGTGATAAATTCAAATTGCCTTTCTCTGCTTCACTTTGGTGATTTCTGTCTAAATGATAAAATCATTCTGTCAAGCAATCATCTCACTAAAGTCAAACTGACCTTTCGAAGACAGGGACAATCTCTAGCTGTTGTCTGCAGCCTTTATGATGCCCCTGGTAAACCGAGGCACCAGGGCTGGACTTCGCCGAAGCCGGTCAAACCCACTCGCCCAACCCCGCAAAGCTCCCCTCCTCTCTGCCTGGCTCACGCAGGACAGATCAAGGCCCCTTTACGTTTTACTCAGAGGTTTGGGTCCCCACCCACACTTACGTATTGCTGAATTTCAGAGGTAGCTGCTTCTGGGTCTTCTCCTCATAACGCTTTGCTAAGAGACTTAGGAATTCCGTTTTGAAGACAGACTCAAGCAAACTGTCGTACTCTTGCTCGTGGAGAATAAAAATGTCATCCTGCATAGTACTGGGAAAAGAGGACATAGACTTATTTCTACAGTCTTCCTTTTTCTTTTTTTCTTTTTTAAAGGTTTTTGCCATACAGTGCATGTGCCTGCCAGAGACACACAGAGAGAGGGATACAGAGAGAAAGTGAGAGATCACCCACTCCCCCCAGCTGGGATGGCCACACCGCGATCCCTTCTCCACTCTCCTCTCAGGATTTTGGGCGCACACACACCCAGCATGATTTTCAAGCCACTGGGTCTGAGCCTCAGACTGTGGTTGGCCTTGTGGGAGTCCAGCACCTTAACCACCATGCCACCCATTGGCCTCTCTTTTTCTTTTAAAAAAATGGTCAGAGGGTGTGAGTACATGCCAGAGAGACAAAGGGAAGAATCACACTGTAATTCCTTCTCCATCTCTCCCAAGTTTTAGGATTTGGGGCATGTAAGCACACATGCCTGATGTGATTCTCACGCCGCTAAGTCCTGGAGTTGAACCGTGCAATCGGCCACATGGGATCCAGACACCTTAACCACCACGCTGCTGGCTGGCCCCAGTTTTCCTTTCTATAAGTGACGGTCTTCGAAACAGAACGTGGGGAATTATATAACGTGGTTGCTGAGATCTGTGTTTGACGGAAGTTTGTTGCCCACCAAAACCCAAATATTTCTTTCATGTGATTACTTATTTATGTTAGTTTAGTTTTTTTCTTTCATTTGATTTTTAAAAATCAGGCCTTCAAGGACTGATTTTTAAATGGACTTTCTAAAAAGTCTTCCCCTGCCCAGGGAAGACCTGTGGTCTCAAGGACAGCCTACCTCTACCTTTTGGGGCTGCATGGAGACCACAGGAGTGGTCCATTTAAAAATTCACCTTCTGTGTCCTTAAGAGAATAAAATCCAGAACGTTATGAACAGGTTATGGCTGAAAAGGAACAACTCCACATTAAGCTCCAGGTTAGTAAAATGTAGGATGTGGTAGTGACGATCGAGATAAATCTGAACTTGAAGAATCATAAACTTGGTTAACCAGAAGGACGCCAATACACTGAACTTCAGGTGTGCTTATTAAGAACCTTCTGCACATGGGTCTCTGCTTATATGACATATCAAGTGCTACTGAAATGTGGACTTCAAGGTGCAGAGATCCCAGGACGGGCATAAACAACAAGCCAGCACAAACCATCGCCTTCGAGTAACGGCTTTCTCTGGACGAGGAAAGAAGATGCCTTCGCAGGAATGACGTGCACACAGGGTGGGGCTGTGGAAAAGCTTAGGCCTGGAAGGCAGCGGATATCGGAAGGTGGAAGAGAGAGACAGAAGCAAACCCAGTCCTGAGGAAACGTATAAGGGGAAGGTTGATGGGACACAGCTCTGCTCCCAAGTCTGGCAGACTCTATTTTCAAATAAGAATGGAGAATTCTTGGGACCAGCAGTTAGTGTAATGGCTATGTCGCTGGACTCCCATGTAGTCGACCGCAGTTCAAGTCCCAGACCCAGTGGCTTAAACTCACGCCATGTACGTGTGCATGTTTGCCCAAGATCCCGAGAGGAGAATGGAGGAGAAGGGACTGCGGCGTGGCCATCCCCCCTGGGGAGTGATTTCTCACTTTTTAATCTCTCTGTCTTTCTGGACAGCGCACGCACCCAGTAAGAAAAAACCTCTCCAAAAAAAAAAAAAAAAAGAATGGAGAATTCTCATGCCGTAACTATTAAGATCTGTAACTCAGTTGAAGGAGGCCAGCGCCCCAAAGGCTTCATAATATAAAAGTTTCTAAGTATCTCCAAGTACCACTGTCAAGTAACTAAGACAATCCTTCAAGGAATGACGTTTTATTGGGGACTGGAAGTGTTCTTCCAGGTTTTTTTTTTTTTTTTTCTTGAGAGATTTTTGCCATGGGATGTGTGCGCTAGCTGGAGAGACAGAGAGACAGTGAAAGGGAAAGTGAGAAATCACCCTGAGGGGATGACCATGTTGCAATCCCTTCTCCTCCATTCTCCTAGGATTTTGAGCATGCACAGGTCTGGGACTCAAACTGTAGTCGGCTGCACGGGAGTCCAGTGCCTTAATCACTACGCCACCTGCCTTCCAGGTTTCGAAAACAAATGAGGTGAACCTGAGATGGTAAACTGATCACGGTAACATTTTAATCACTCCGAGTGCAGGAAATGCCGAAGTGATGTT